ATTCTACCCACTGCCGCTACTGTTGTGCCGTGGGCTCATGTCCTGCACACCTTGTGGTGACAAACTGGGTGGGAGTTGGGTTTCGCCCTTCTCCCTCCTAAGATCCACGACACCAATCCGCATGAGTCAGTGAGCTGACCATATGCTAGACTCACTGCTTTTTGAGTGTACATTTAATCGAAGGCTTTGGTTGAGGATCCGAGTCGTTCTCCTGTCAGGTGTGGGCGCCCTGCCAGTATCCTAGTCCATCCTCTTCTGAGGTTAGGAAGTGGTCGATGACCCTCTTCCCGTAAAACCTAGCCATGGGAGACAACAGGTCCACGAGTTATAAGCTCACAGCTCGATTGCCGTAGAGCACGAGCGCTACACATTGTCCCTGACGGTGGGAGGGCACCTCCGGTCGCTCAATAGTTTGCTACTGCCCGCCTCAAGTCAGACAGCCCCTGGTCAAATTGGTGCAAACCCGCGGAAACCTCCCAGCGTCTGGCCATGGTCGCAGGTGCGTATTCCACTACGGTCGCAAAACAAATATAAATCGTTCCAGTACCTTAAAGGCATCGTGTGACGGACCTCAAGTAGCTCCCATTCTGTCTCTGCAATCACATTCGCGAACTGGATCTTCTCCCCACTGCCTTGTGGGTCATGATGTTGAGCCAAAGGCTCCTTGTGGAGTACCTCCAACAAACCTTCGAAACACATCCGCTACCTCGCGTACGAATGCCCACCAATGCAATCGTATGCCTGCGCGCAAAGCACTCAGCATTGGGTGCTGGAACGTGGGCACGCTACTGGACCGGAACTCGAGTGAGCGCCTCGAGCGACGCACTGCATTGGTCGCGATGGACCTGACGCGCTACCACAACAATATTGCGGCGCTCAGTGAAACCCGGCTCGCTGAGCAAGGTAAGTTGCAGGAAGCAGGTGCTGGCTACACATTCTACTTGGTGGGCAACGCCGCCTCAACATGTGGTCGGATTTGCAATATCCGACTGCTTCCATGGCCAGCTGGTGGATGAACCAACGGGCATCAGCGCGCGACTGGTGACTGTTCGCCTACGATTCAGAAGAGGTAAGTTTGCCATTATTATTAGCACTTGATCACTTTTACACTCAGCTATTCTCCGTGATACGGTCTGTGCCGAGGATCGACCAACCATTTCTGCTGGGTAAATTCAACGCACGCGTTTGGCGTGTTGCATCGGTGTGGACAGATGTTATCGGTCTGCATGGCATTGGTTCAGCGAATGCAAATGGTGAGAGTGTGCTTTCACTGTGTGCCACTGGCAAACTGACTACCACGAACACTCCGTTTGCACTGAGTGCGAGTGATATAGCAACTTGGATGCACCCACGGAGTGGTCACGCTCATCTGCTCTACTATGTCATCGTACGTCAGCGTGATATGCATGAAGTGCGCATGACACGTGTACTGCGTGGAGCTGTGTGTGGCACTGATCACAAATTAGTGCGGACCAAACTGTGAATATATTTTCGTACATCTATCTATTGCACTCCTGCCGTGAATCGGCGTATATTTAACATCTCCCTTGGTACTGTGGAGAAACGTATTGTGCTGGAGAAGGCGGTGGCTGTACGCGTGTGTGATGTGGAATGCAAAGCCACAGTAGGGGACCTGTGGCACCACATTCGCGCTCAGGTGACAACTGCTGCCGAGGAGACCATCGGTCGCGGAAACTGTAAGCAGCCTGATTGGTTTGCTGAGAACAATGCGACGATCGGCGCATTGGTGTCTGAGAAGAATGCAGCATTTGCTGCATATGGGGCAGACCCCAGTAACATGGGGAAGAAGAGAAAGAGAGAGGAGAATACCACGACGACTGACCCGAGAGCTCCGTCGCATTAAAAATGCATGGTGGACGGAGAAAGCGAAGCACATGGAATGCTACGCCGAACGCCGCCAACAGAAGGAATTCTTCGACTTCTTGAAGGCGGTGTATGAACCGAAGTTGAAGCCACTGAGGGCGCTCATCGATGGTAGCTTAGGCGCTACTTACACGCAGACTGCAGACATAATGCAGATCTGGCAAGAGCAATTTGCTTGTCTCTTGAACAACCGTTCAGAGATCGACTGGCCTACTCTGAACGACCTGAAGCAGCACGATGTGAATGCGAGTCTGGCGGACACGCCGACACTGGGTGAGACGAAGCGAGCATTTTCTCAGCTGCGAGACAGCACGTGTCCCGGTTCCGACGGGATTGCGCCCGAAGTATTGTAACAACGCGGATCTATGTTGGTGAATGCGCTGCACCATTTGGTGCAACGCGTGTGGATTGAGGAGGAGGTGCCTCCTGAGCTGAAGCATGTCCTTATGCTACCACTGTACAAAGGCCAAGGAAGCAAGCAATGTTGCACGAATTATCATCGTACCAATTTGCTGGGTTGTGTAATACTGATGTTTGTCCGAATCCTGCTCAATCGCTTCATCTGTCTATTTGTAGAACTTTACGTGGCGAAAGAGCAGTGTGGATTCTGTTCGGTTCGCAGCACCATAGATATGGCGTTTGCGGCTCGTCAGCTGTAGGAGAAGTGTAGAGAACGATACCAGCGGTTGTATTTGATTTTTGTTGATTTCACCATGGCACTTGATACGGTGAACCGCGAAGCATTGTGGATGGTGTTGGGTAAGTTTAGTAGTCCAAGTAAATTTTCAAATTTAATTGATTGTCTGCACAGTGGTATGCAAGCGAGGGTGCAACTGAATGGATAGACCTCGAATGACTTTGCAGTTGTCTCTGGTCTGAAGCAAGGCTTTGTCTTAGCTCCTGCCCTGTGTAAGATATATCTTCATGCAATGATGTCTTGTGCTTTTGATGCAGTTTATGCTTACGGTGTTCGTGTGGAGCACCGTATAGTTGGTGGGTTGTTGGACATCCGTCGTTTCGAGGCGAGAACCCTAGTCTGTGAGACAACTATCCGTATACTGCTGTCCGCTGATGAATGCACGTTGTTTGCACACAACGCGGATGAGTTGCAGTACAAGATTAGTGCTCTGGCTTCGACAGTGGCCAAATTCGGGCTCACCATCAACACAAGCAAAAGTGTCTGTCTCGTTCAGTCTACACCGAAGGTGTATTCTACAATGATGCCTCGATTCAGCATTGGTGATGAAGTATTGGAAACTACTTCCCGCCTCTGCTACCTTGGGAGTGTGCTTTCGACTGACCAGCAAATTCACAGTGGGCAGTGTATTCGCGTCTCGAAGGCATCAGCGGCATTCGGGAAGCTAAAGTACCGAGTGTGGAACAACCACCAGCTTACCGTTGGCACGAAGCTGATGGTGTACAAATCCAAGGTGTTGTCCGTTCTTCTATGCATCAGCGAAACGTGGACGATTTACCGGAATTGTGTGCGATAGCTGGAACAGTTTTATCAACGGTGCGTGCGACGGATTCTGCACATCGGTTGGTGCGACAGAGTTGCAGACACGGAAGTGTTGCGCCGAAGTGAAGTGTATGCAGTGAACTGCATACTTTTGCTGAGACACCTTAGGTGGCTCGGTCATGCGAGCCGTATTGATTCGACGAGGATACCGAAGCAGCTACTATGTAGTCAGCTGAGTTTGGGGAAGCGGCATGTGGGAAAACCGAAGCTTCGTTGCTAGGATATGATCACGCTGAGCCCATCGCTTTCTAATATTGACTATAGGTGTTGGCAATCGAGGACGGTTGACCGGCGTGCAACGGCGCGATCAAAGCACGAAGGCAGTTGCCGAGATTGCTAGAGGAAGCCCTCATGTATGCGGATAAGAGGCGGCCATTGCGGAAGCGACAGGCGTCGAGGGGTTGTACTTCATCGACATCTAACTCATGGTGTTGTAGCACATGCGGCCGTGAGTGGCTGAGTCATGCGATTGAATCTGTCTTGCCAGCGCGCTTTATCTCCTTACGTTTGGCAGCCGTTTTAAACAGTCTAAAGTTATCAACATTATTCCTTTTGAACGTTTGCTTAGTGTTTAGTTTCCTACCATCTCTCCTGTCTTTTCGTATCTGTATTAACCCCTGGGTTAGCTGTGGTTAGATGTCATCAAACTGCAGTTCTGCTATTGAGGTTCTGATGTGTGTCATGACGATGACTGTGGTGATTGCCTTTAACACTTGTTCTTATCATCATATCGATTAAACTAGTCCTATGAAACGTTAATTCCTCACACTATAAATTACTAAACCTACAGTGTACATTCGATCTTCCATAATTCTAGAAATCTAAATGATGCACAAGCACAACTTTAGACTGAGTGTACAACTTACAGGGGGATTGGGGGCGGGTCTTGACACGATGGGTTAATAGGATTGTCATTGAACCATGGTAAAATGGTCCGATGATGGAACCTGTAGCGTGTACTGATAGCTTACTGTCACAATGCTTATGGTTTGAGGATTCAGCTGTCTAGAGTACTCGATCACAAATTGTCTCGCAGGCCATTCGTTAACAGGTGCGACTGATGGCAAAATTTTCATAGAACAATATTTTTGTTCTTAAAAATCTTTGTTGTTAATTACCGGCTCATAGGAGCGGTATAGCACGTTCTGACCCCACGTGCGATATGTGAGACGCACACTGCTGACGACTGTAAGCTGAAATCACGGTCGTCTAGTGTTTTTTCGGATGTTCTGCGTCTGACTGCATTCCATTACTGTATAGCATACCAATTCTCTTAATCCGAGTTCTACTCGGCTCGGCTGTCTCTCCTTGATGCGTCCAAACAAGAACAACGCGTAGTGGAGTGCAGGAATGGGAGAGAGCAAAACCAAAACCCTCCAGCTCCGGCACTATGTTTTTAAGATGCATGCTCTTTCAGTGTTATTCAAGTTTTGGAATTCGTTCCGTAGCACACGACCAACAGATACTTCTCTTTGTTTGGGTCCTATGCACCACGTGCTCAAATCCTCACTAACCTGTTTCTTCTTTGGATCTTACCCTCATCGGTGCCTTGAAAGTGATACCCTCTTTCCCTTGATCTTGTTCCCTGTCCCTACAGAACGGAGATGTCCGCTTCCTCATATGCACTGATGTCGCTGCGCGGGGTATTGATATAGCTGGTCTGCCTTATGGTAAGTTTTTTAAGTTAGTTTTCAGTCGAACCTTCCCTGCACTCCTTCGCGTATTTATCCAATCATCTAGATTCTAGAACTCTGAAATTGTTCGCTGGTGTTTTAATTATCCGGCTGCTCCTCGTCCAGTAATTTGATTTTCGCTGCCTCTTTACTCAGTTTTCCCTCTTTGTTTCTAGTATGTTTTCTCCGCACCCAGATTTTCTTAAACGCGCAACAATTTTGTTAGTTAACACCGACAGCTCGCCACCGCTATCGTTGTCATCAGCTGGCCTGTCCTTATCTCACCGGGTTAAATTTGATACGTTGTGTGTCTGGAATCTTGTTCGCTTCGCCCTTGTGGTCTGTCGCTCACCTAATCACCTTGTCCTGTAGCCCTCCGAAGGTTAAAACGATGTCTGGGTATCATTTATACCGTAGGAAGTTCGGAGGTGCTACTTATTTGCGTTGGCTTCTTACTGCTCAGTTTCCATTGTTATGCTGTCTCTATTCATCGGCCCGCACGCATTGTTTGTCCACCGTACTCGGTCCAGCCCATTCTTTTCTTGGCTACGGCGATATTAAACTTGCCTCAGGTTTGAGGAGTTGATTGGTCCTGCGATCTAAACAGTTTGATTGCAGACGTTTCACTCCTAATCTAAGTGACATCACCAATGCGTAGTATTAAGCAGCTTGCTGGCAGCTACTGAGCATTGAGCAAATTCGTAGACGGATCATGCTCGGCCTCATTCATTCTCCGCTGTCCGTCTGACTCCTGTGATTGCAGTCAGCTCGCGTCTGCTGCACTTGATTCGCTTTCTGTTCACCGATTGCGTGTCATCTCAATTTGCTCAACCGAGCGGCCACCATCGCATCCCCCTGTCGTCAGTCTGGACTCATTGAGGCTCACGCGCTGTTCACTCGAGGCATTTTGGGCCATTGCACTTCTCTCTCTTTTGTAAGGAAGCTGTACTTGGCGCATTCTTCCTCCGATTCGTGCAATCGTGATCAGCTCGCTTTGATAAGCATCGGTCACCAGCTACCATCACGCTAATGGTGCAGCTGAAATGCAGAGGTGCATTGGTACGAAGCGGTTCTCCTTTCGATCTACACATCAGTCACTCCTTGTTACCGAATCGAGTGGTTCAGCTTATCCTCTTGACCCGGTTGGTGAATCGATCCGTTTGCGTATCCATCACCTAATGTAATTTAGCAGATGCTCAGTATTCCCTGCTGAAAGCTACTTCGATTAAAACTAGGCTACCCAATTTAATTGATTCTACTTATCTTAACTATTCACTTCAGTCCCGTCAACCTTTCCCTTGTGATATGTGCTCACTTTTATGCAACATTCACATACTACCCTAATCTTTTACTCTCGCTACACCTCATTTGCAACCCATCTTCGTCACCCAATGCATCAACATGAATTTCATGCCTTATCCTTATGGGAGCTGCTCTTCTCTTCGATTATCCCGTTGAGATTGTGAGAATGAGTCTAATCACTCTCTGACATTGCGGTTGTTGCTTCAGTGGTGGACTTTCGGGTCGTTATGTTTGGTGCTTCCCAGTGTTTAGGGGGCTATTTGGTTGTCACAGTTTGCTTGAATTCACCCGCTATTCATTCTACCAAGGAAAGCGTCGTTGGTTGAGTCCAAACGCACCATTGTCCCAGAAGACTTTGCATGTGTCCGAGTTCCCCATGCTCATGATTTAATTTGATTGGTTTCCTCCCGAAATTGGCTGACTGCTTCCAACAGTCAACGAAATCGTTTGCACAGACTAAAGCCCCGGGTCTACTCAGTGGAACGGCTTGTGCACTTCATTCCATACTCCAACCTTTTGTAAAGTGCTCCCATTTCAACTCTTCTATGCACCTGTTGTTACCTTTCAGTCATTAACGTAACGCTTCCGGACGAGAAACAGAATTATGTCCATCGAATAGGTCGAGTCGGTCGCGCCGAGCGGTGAGTCTTTGCCCTACTTTTCTCTGCTTCCTCTGGTGGATGAGCAATTTGTCCCTTATCGATCGGGATTTGTGTCCATGTGAAAGTATGGCATTTTTATCCTTCCTTATTTTTCAATGGCTTTGCTCCAGTCACCCACTCTGCATCGCTTTCCGTTCGGATCCCACTTTCATAGCCACTTTAGTCTGTTATTTTCCGTAAAGTTTTGTTCTAATGGACGATCACAAATCTTTTTTACAGCAGTCAGCTAATCGTTTGGTATTCTTGCTTACTTTCCGCAAACGACTTTGTAAAAGTTAAAGTACATTGCTTTCTACCGATTGCTACGTGTTAATTACGAACGTTTTATTCATCATTCGGTGATCGTAGACTTTTCAAACGTGTCGAAACCTGTTGACTGAGGAGAACTGCGGCGAATTACCTCTGGAATTATGCCGAAATCCCCACCACTCATTAGTTATCGTAAACTGTAAACTGACTGCTTTCGCGTCTCTTCCACCGAGTTATTGTCAATGTTTCTTCCTATCACTCAAATCATACAATGTCAGCAACGTGGTTTTACGCGTTTCGCGTAGAACGTGACTGGCGATGGTGCACGGATAGGAGGAAATGCGTGCCGCTCGCAAAGCTCATCTGTCGATACTAGCTCATGCGCTGTGCCGACAAATCGACGCGTCGATGTTTCGAATGGGACACACGCACAATCTCTTTGAGCCGCTTTTCCCCAACCTTATTTCTACTGGCAGCTTGGGTCGGTGATTTTGCTTTCTACCTCAATGTTTCGCCACACGCGCGTTCATTCGGTTTGTCGTGGGCTCCACGAAATAAAACCACAGCCTCTTTACATGGGGCCGTGTTTGTATGCAACTGATTCGCATGTCTCCTTGTATTCAAATAAGCGACCGAGGAATGACTCCCATTCACCGGGAAAATATTTAGTGCATACGTCGAGTGGATGGGTTTAAACAAGCACAGGCCATTGCACTGGAAGGGACGGCGGAGACCTAGAAAAGTGATTAGTGAAAAATTTCACAGATTAGGTGGGTGACACCGTTATCAAGCGTCTTCGCAAATAAACGCGAAGGTACATTGGGAGGGGAGATCCTTTTAAAACATTCATTCTTTGGGTGGATTTCGACAAGCAATCTCTATCGAGACTATGATTCACATTGAAGTGAATTTCAATTGATTCGATCACTTGGACTGCATCTGAAGCAGTGTTGTGAGCGGACAGTACCTAACAATCATTTGCAGATAAAAAGACACTTAAAGCGGGAGGAAGTCACAGCACTACGCAGAGGCTATACAAAGAATTTGTCTGTTGGAGACAGGTCTGAGCAATCTTAATTAAAGTGGATAAACAGTCTATTCTCGAAGTGCGTGAGACATGTCTGATCAGGTATGTTCAATTAATTACCGAATTTTCGATGAGCGTAATATATCGCTTGAGTGTTTATCACCTAGTCAAATAATATACTGCTGAGTGTTAATGATAGCATGTGGATGTCCAGATGGAATGGGTTCACCGAAGCCTGCTTAACTCGAGACTATGTCTATTGCACCCTGCTTAGAATAGTCGGAAGAAATTTACAAGTGAAACTAGTTTGAAGAAACTGGATTGGGTGGTCATATATATGATTGAAGAACAGAACCCTCAGGTTCGAGTGCCAACGGATAAGACTTTGTCGACATCTGGTCTCTGTGCAGATCAGTCGCTTAGTCAACTTAACATTTCGTAGAAAGTAGAAGTCACGATTAAAATTCACACACAATAATGTGCCTCGACGGGGAATCGAACTCCGGCCCACGATTTTCCGGTCCGCTGCTCTACCACAGCTACCGAGGGTAGAGCAGCGGACCGGAAATTCGTGGGCCGGGGTTCGATTCCCCGTCGAGGCACATTATTGTGTGTGAATTTTAATCATGACTTCTACTTTCTACGAACTTTACACTACTCACAAACATCCACAATTAACTTAACATTTGACTACTTATTGAAAGAGGCTCGTTACACTCGAGCCGGAGGATGCAATTTGCGCTTTAAGTTACGAGTTCCCGCGTTCTTTTTTTTGCAAGTACGGGCATCGTGATGATTGCATGGCCTGGGGAAGTAGGAACTGCGGAGTTATCGTGGCCTGGTTTCCCATGTGTACCTGCTTGTATCGATGTTTGGCTGGTGGCTTCGTAAATTTCGCTTTTGGAGTCATGGGGCGGTTTTCACCGTGGTGATGAAGAGCGTCATTTTGAGCACATGAGGTCTGAGCTGTATTGCATCCATATAGGTATTTTTTGACCGGGACGAATATGTGGATATTGGGCTTTCTCGTACTTGGGCAAAATGAGAGTGAGTAGCAACATGAACCAGAGCGTTATCGCTCCCAAGCCCATTGTCCGCGTCCGTGCATGTCCGAGTCTCTATACTGAGCAACAATTGTGCTCACCTTAATCGCATCATTATCAAGGACTGGTGTGAACGTCATAGTGTTGTCTTCAGCCTTCGCGACGCAACTGTTTGTTTCCTTCTAGCTTAGCTTAGTTGCGTAAGGAATAAGTCTAAGTCTGCGCCTGACGTTATGGTCAGGCTAGTAAAAGCTGTACTCTATGATAGCGGGAGCAACACCAAAACCTTCAACTTCGGTCTGTTACTGTGATCGGAATGACTGAGGCTGACTTCAAAGGCAATCTTGCGCGCAACTAAGATTGGGAGTCCCAATCCAAAACACGGTGAGTGCTCCAAAACCCGACTATCAAAATGGAATTTTCACCAACAAAATGCAACGCCATATCGTATCGCTGATCTCTACTGACCAACATTTTTAAGATAATTGGACCTTCACCTATCCACTGCGTTACTATACTACTCCAGTTCATTAGGTCTTGGAGAGCATGCAGCATATAGCACAGCTAAGGCCAGATCATTCACCAACTGCATTTGCAAGTCTATTTTACTCAGGGAACAAAGAGTTGCCCTGTATAAATCTTGCACTCGGCCGATTCTAGAATATTATTCCTTGGTGTTCATCAACTCGCGAAGAAACGATAGCATAGCTGTGGAGACAGTGCAGTGCTCGTTTACTAAGCGTCTACTGGATTCATTCGCATGCAATCACGACAGATGCAAGCAGCTCCATTGTGGCTTCGCATGCTAACCTTAACCTCGTATTGCTATTCCAGTGGTTGAACAATTCAAATGGAAATACTAATTTCTTTGTTACGCGAAACACTGATAGGCGACATTTGCCTGATCGTACTCCATTATCCTGCCGAAAACTCGCACTAGCATGCGCTCTGGTTTCTTCCATTACAGCTACGCGTTCATATGAAACAGATTACCTGTGGTAATCAGATTGATTACAATGATTAGGACATCTGGCACTTCCCTACGTAGATTCCTCAACACAGCCTCTATATCTGAGCTTTTCTAAAGACGATGCTTGGGAACTATGTACAGATTACTTCTGATCTTGCACCTTACAACTTTTGCTACCTCAGCGATGCACCAGCATCGATCTTCTATACTTTTTCCTCATCATCACCTGATATTCCGGCAACAGGTCTAGTCTAGTATTGTGACTCTCCAACTGCTCGAAGTTGTTCTGGGGTTTTCCTAAGAAGCCGAGCGAATTCTTTACACACCTTACAATCAAAATATTGTCGTATCCCAGATCATAGTCAAGATTTGTTATTAGTTTTAAGCGGCATTGGAGTGGTTCTATTCGAACCCAACCGCTAGAAGCCACCAATGAATGTGCATGATGATACATCTCGCTATATGAACTTATCGACAACACCGTGAGATGTCGTATTCATGTAGTACGGTGTTCTTTGCGACATTGTTGGTCATTCAGTGAAGAAAACTACCAAAGTAGGTTTATAGATTTTTTTGAATTTATTCATCTATTGGAGATATGGTATCTCGGTTGGATACAGTAGCACATGAATGGGATGAACGGTATGATAGACGAACGCCTGTTCATCTTCCTCTATTCTTGCTTTGTACTTTTTGATAGCAACTGACCTTGACTCTGTCGCCATCATTCTGTCGTTCCCGTTTGGTCTATGGTCCCTAGCACTGTGGTAACCAAACCGCTGTTGTTTCCCTGATCTACGGCGCAAAGTTCCCACGAATATCCTTAATGCGTACGAGCGTGCTTCTTTATCCTACGATTGTATTTGAGCTACGCAAGCTCAATGCATTATGGAAACACCCACTGTTCTGGGTTTCGAAACGGCGTGCAGTGATGAAGTCCCGTCGCGTGGTGTGAGTAGTTGTAAGCTCTCATTTGAACTCCTGTATACTAGGCTGTGCCGATGTTCTAGACATCTTTACTCCTCCACACACCAAAGGGTATCTGCGGTACGCCAGCACGCGGTATCGACGCTTCACTGTTGCGCAACCATCACCAGTCGCGCGTGGGCCGTGGATACTGCGTGGGTCTCCCGGTCTTTTATGCAGGCTCGAACTCGCGACCTCAGATCTAAAAGTTAGGCTTGTGATCCTTAAGGCCACAGGTCGTCACGGATAGTGTTGGTACTGATTCAGCGACATCCACAATGTTAATAGTCCCATTGTCCTGTCCTCTCGCTTTCTTCTCACCGGAAAAAAGTTGCTCAGCACTTTCACTCACTCACTTAGTATCCTCAGTGCGTCGGCCGGTATATCGCCATCATGCAGGTGCGAATTAAGAGGAACGGCCGGATTGACACAATAGAGGGGTATGAGTGAGCGAAAACCTGGTGTAGGCATCAAGTGTTTGTAGGAGAACACAGTGCCCTCACTCGGTAACCTCGCTTGCGGCTGACATCTGTATGTAGAGCAGGGCTATGTGAATTCAAATTGGAAAGGCGAGACTGATCAGCGGCACCAAATCCATCAACCAGGAATTCCATTTCACTAATCTAAATCAGTGAGTGCGCCTCCCCGAGCCTTACCTTGTCCAGTATCGGATAAACAACGCAACACTGTCCTCAGCAAATTGCGAACGGATGCATACATCAAATACTTATTAATGCGAAGTCTGTTTCAACCGCTTCTGTTATTCTGACGAACTACTCTGTGCATCGCCGCCGCATGTGCAATTCATCGTTGCAAACGAGCTAATGCCATCGGATACACACAGTGCTCCATAGCTGAAGACGGTCAATGCGCAAACTAGCTCTAACAGCCACACGCCCGTTAGCGGCAATACTGCTCGCACATAGGTGACCTGATCGTCCACCACCAGTTTATCGTTGTCCAGAATCAAATGGCTAGCAGTCTTGGTGGAAATTACAGCTTCCATGACAAAGGATGAAACTACTCTGAAGTGTTCTTCTGGCAAAGTCTGCCTCCGCCCCATTATCGAGCAGCATTACGATGTCATCCGTGTTCACCTCATATCGGTGTGCCCTGTCAACACAGCCAGCAACTCTTCTTGCATACTTGGTGGTTAGGCTGGTATTCGAATTGGTACAATGATTTGCTTGATGTTCTCTAGTGTTAAATTTTGATTTATCTCATTTTTCTGGAGTCTTTGAGAATATAGCTACTCGACTGGTAGATGGGTATAAGGTACTACAAATTGGTTCCAGCATGCATTTCTTAAGTTACTGGACAGAAGTCGTAAACCTTCTTCTATCGAGACAACCATGCGAGACCACAGTTGATTTGCGTAGTACCCGGGCTTTGTGGTTTGTCCTGATGTCTACTGTTTTACCACTGCCCATCTGACCAAGCGTCCCTTGATCACAGAGGTACAAACCCGTTGAAACTCACTTGGTTAGGCTTGATTGCGTGCGTATCACGACCCGCAGCAGATTCATTGCGGAAGTACTCGTAGATTTTTCAGACCTGTTTTATTCGGGTTCATTCCAATATTCAGGTGCTTCTGAAGTCACACTCCCTGGATCTGCTTTCCACCACTTCGGAGGTCAAACTTTATTCGGTACGCCCATTCAAGCCTCAATTTATACTACAGATATGTGCATGTTATTGAAACCCCACAAGTATTGTGAGTACCTGCGCATTGTTCCCACTCTGTCCAGGCATTGAGTGGGGCCATAGCGGATTGCATACTCCATTGCTTTGTTCTCTGGCATCTCGGATAGGTCACTGGGCTGAGCTCAGCAAGTCTGTTGCATCATCGTGATCATCCGCTGTTTCATCAAAGGAACCAACTTGGGATGTTGCCTTGTTGCCTACTCACTTGGGAGCGTTTCATTGTGAACTTGCGTTGTTGAAATGGCGTGAAGTGTCTGCACTGGACTACGTGGACTGGTCGTAAAGCGCCACCCGTTGTTACTCTATCTGCTCTCTTCAGGGTTGTGCAGGACGCTAAGGGGCTAACTTCACTACCACGGTCCTCAGGAAACACTACCAATTTTTACTGGGCTGTTCCATTTTGTGCGACGCTTGTGGATGCACTTGCTTTATGGCAATTTACTCGAGACCGCTCACTGCAACATGCTTCGGCAGCTCGCATGACCTTGTTGCATTGACTTGGATTGGGCCAAGTTAGTTTGTATCCACGCTAAGAGTTTATGATTCAAACGTATGCTTGTATCTATTTGTTCGCCTGATACGCATGATTCCTAACACGCACAGACAGGAATGCTGCTGCTGTGTATGTTAAAGGAGGCGGGGGCGGCTCCATTAACGAAACCTGGCTCTCATCCACATACCCCACGGTCTTATTCCTTCGGGTTCAAACTGGATATGAGGTGTGTGCATGGAGCTGGGGGTGGTACAGCGCAAGCCACCCATGATCCCTCAGTGGGAACAGGTGTCCTTTGATTGTCCTATAGAGGCCGCAGTTACAGGCAAATTCGGACTCGGATATCACCAAACATGGGAATGCATGGGAAATGCGTTTGGAATGGATGAGAAATAAGGGTAAAATGTTAACAAAATTTTGTTCTCTATAGTTAGGCAACTAGCCTTCTGGTCTTACGAAAATGTTTCACGAACGCCCCGGTTGTTTTGTAAGCTGTATGGCCAATTCGGGATATTAATGTTTTTGATTATGCTTGGCACTACTGTATGAATGTGAGACAATGCCATTTTGCGTGGAAGACATTAATGTTCTTATCGTGTCTGCCCATCGATAATTGCGAAGCATTAGATGCATCAGGTTTGGACATTAGCTACCGTATGGAAGATGACCTATTAAATACATCTCCAGAGACACGATAGTACTCAGTTACGTCACAGCGGAATGGACTAGACTCTTAAGAGAACCATCTTCAGCTAGCCGACTACCTTACCAGATGTCACATCGCTCTTCATAGAATGTATGCTTTCTACATTTCTCTTATCTGGTTGATAAATTCTGTTAAACACCACAAATGTACCGCTCCGAAATGCATTGGTGTTGGACCTCTTTTGCTGTGCGTACCTCTGACATTGCTCGCCTTGCTTTGCGGTCACCGGACCGTCGTGAGGTTTTTCACCATATTGGAGCTTTTAACACTTGTACGCTGGTGTCACTCTGAGCGGTACTTCCTTCTCCATTCCCTCTCTTCATTCCTCAAGCCCGCCTTTGTCTTGCTGTAAACTGTATTGCTCACGACCCTGGTTAACCCCATCATTTACTTTGCCTCTGTCTGCTACATTTCTACCATATCCACACTTGCCAGTTACTATTGCCATTTTTTCCAGCGATTATCAGTTATATAGTGCACTTTTACTATTTATTCCTCCATATCTATCACTCTCTATCATTCCCGTTGAGCGGCGCTTCTTTCAGAACACCGGCTTCTATTTCATTTTAGCATGGGACTAGCGATCAGTCTTGTCGCGACCGTTAAGGAAAAGGTGAGTTACTTTGTACTTCACACAACTCATTCTGTGACCAAGTCTTTCGTTCACGGAATTTTCGTTGAATGTTGGCCAGCACTTTCGATTTCTGTCCGGTGCCATCCGCGAGGATCGTTGGCCGATCGGTATAAGGAGTACGCTTTGCAGCCCCATAGGTCACCGGTTCGAATCTGCCTAGACGCGGACTACTTCGCTATATCACTAGTCCACGCCCAACTTATGGTGGTCGCGTGACTGCTAAGTGTCGGTACAGCGTACCGACGTACTGTTGGTGCCTTCTTCTACGATCTGCATCGTCGTTCCCCTCTCTCACCCTCACATTGAATGGCGATTCCGCGCCCAAGGAAAATACATCCTCATCGCATTTATCAAACGATCTCTTCTATCACCGCGCTTTGAGGGAGATGTTTATCTACCTGCTTGTTCTGGTGCGGTCCCTTACTGGGAATCCTACTTTTTTAGAAACAAGCTATATTTCTCAGCTAGTTGTCCATTAGTCCAACACTTAATGTATTAATCTGATCGCTTTCCGTGACTATCCACTTTAATGATGACCAAATCGTCCCTGTTAAGTACGAGTAAGGAGGTCGAGACTTCCACTACGGTCCCTGTTCGCTTCCATTCTTACTGGACCTTAACGGCTGTTGGGTTTCTACTGGACCATTTTTGAGCACTCCAACGCATGCATGCGAACTACCCTGGTCAATCTCTATCTGTGACCTGTTGTTCCACGGTAATCTTCCTAGTCGTTGATCTTGCGCAAGTCTTCCCAGCTGTACATCGGTTTTCATCTACCAAAACACGAGTGTTTCAGTCTACATGCTTTAAGCTCAGCTTGCCCATTGTGGCTTTGGAGCGCCACGGTTCTCTCACATTGAGGGGGCACTGCCCCCATTCACTGGCTCACTAATGCCCACTTCATACTGAGTAGCTCCGAGTCAGCAGGTCAACTTCACCAAAATTCTCCTCCATGTTCGCAACTGTGCCATTTCCAACCATCGGAGGCATATGCAATCATGAGGAATTTTACACGCTGATCACTATTATACTGTGCAGTCGATTTAACCAGCTGGATTGCCCCTCAGTTCCTGAGTCAAGCGCTAGAAGTGGATGCGTCCAAATGACGCCACTATCCCGGAGTCTGCAGCTGGTGGTTATCATCTATCCACAAGTCACCACCACCAGTAATTATTCTCCGGTTATTTCAGTCAACAAAAGTCCGCAACTGATTCCATCAGTTGCGTTGACTTGGGAACCATGCCATCTTTCAAACAAATGTTGCCATTACACATTAAGGTTTTCAACGTCAAAATCAGGTGATGCTCATTATTGCTTTACACTATGCCAATGTTGACATAAGCTGTCCGTAACAGGCTCATACAAGACAACAGTGTCTCCATGTGTCTGAGCTTACCAATCGTGAGTTTCAATGACGGAACCTATTCGCTTATCGCCTCCTGTGCTCCCGCATCCATGACTCGGAGCATTTACCTTTTCGCAACATTCATCGGTGGATATGCAGAATACTACTCTGGAATGATCCCTGTGTAATGCTGCACTTATGTGATCTTACTTCGATGTTCCAACGTAGTCAGTGAACAGCGGTCGAAATTTGGATCTCCTTGGTCAGTCTGGCATACGTATATAGACTACATCTCGTTTGCTGTGAAAGACAAATTACTTGCTTGACTGTCTCCTCTAATTCAACTGACCCTCGCTGCGGTCATTGTGACCGCCGTGAGAGAAATGAACACTCAAGTTGGCCACTTGTCGGTGTTAGAGCATCACTGCGAAGGTCATTTCTGCTGTACCTTCCTTGTTAACAGTTCTAACTGCATTCTTCTGTCTTTATCACAGATAGATGATGGCTGCTGACTAGATTTACTGCCCTAACCAGCACTACCCGGTACGAGAAGCAAATACACTGTGATTAGCGGGTGTCAACCATCATTATCGTCTTTACAATGAGGCAAAGGGCATTCTATAGAAATCATCGTACGATCAGCATCCCCGCACTTGTGTGTGCGTGCGTGCACATTACTCACTTATTTCGTGCGTCGACTCAGTTGCGGTTGAGCTAGTCCCGCCACAATAGCGGGTGCATTTGTCACATTTTTGCACTCAGACTGATGAACGTCATTATCCACACAGACAGCCCATCGTCGTAGTGTTTGTTAAGTCGAAAGCTGCCTTTGCTTCCATTGATTGCGCCTGTGTGGGACAGGATCTACCTTTGATGGACATACCGGCTAATTTCCTCTATATTCTTAAATCTATGCTGCTACTCTCGTGCCTTCGCATCGATCTACGAGAAAATCTCCCCCAAGTTCACCACGACAAATAGAGTGCACCAACGCTACCTTGTTCTTCTACTTGACTTAAATTTTGTGTTTGAAGTAATCATGAGTATCTCATTTTTGTCTTATTCCACTTCTGAAATCGATGTTCTGCTGGATGGCTGACTATCAAATGCAGAGATTACGGGCGATATAATCCTCTTTGGATCAGACATATCTGCTATGGAAGCGTCGCGCTGCATGTGCTAACGCTTTACTTTTCACAGTTTGGTGCGCGCTATACACCTTCGAATTGCAACTCACGACCACAAGGCTGAGCCGTCAGTAACAGTTTTCAAAAGGATAAGACAGTTGTTCAATGTCGTCAACCTATTTATTTACCTGAGTAACAATATCACCAATTATGCTCGCTACACCGAAGTGACTACCACACTCTTTGTTGGCTCGGTTTGGGTGACTTTACAAGGTCTACGTCACTTTGTAATGTTGGACTTATTGGTTAGGCGAAGGATTTATAACGTATCATTGCTATTAACCTTAAAGTAAACTTGAGATCTAACGACTGAAATAGAAGGATGACTATGCTTGACCAACGATACCTGCGAATTATTTCTTCTCTGCTTGTGGAAGTGAGGCTTACCACTTGGTCTTTGGTAACGGGCCATGCGCGACTGTACGTATGGGTCCCCAATAACCTGTGGCTTGATCTTCATCTTCTGCCTCCTAAATTTCTGCTTCGTCTTGTATTGTTCCCGATGCAGCACATGGTTGGTTGAGCCCCGAAATGCGCGGTCAAAAATATAGCAAACGAGTTAAGCAAGTGTCCTGTCGGTAATGCTGAGCTAGTGTCTGTCGTTCCTCTGCATGGACGGTCCATTGGGCGCGGCTATCTCGGTGGTCGGATACTCTGCTATGTATGGCACAGTTACGAACTCTCTGGCGTCCTTGTATTCGTTTCGTCATTTCTTACTCTGATCTATCTGATTATTTTACTTCCTCATCCATTCCTGCCGGCATTTTTTCTTATTATTACGGTGACTGGAGTCGTTGTAAACCGATGTGTCTCACTTGGATGCACCGATTACAGCTAATCAACTGATCAACTTCGCCATTGACGAAGTCATCAAAACAGCATTCGCTGGACACTACCTACAAGGTGTGGAGCTACTTCCTGGTGACTGATTTCTGACTTGAAGTATGCTGACAACATTGCCCTAATCTGTGACAGCTCCCAAACGTGCCAAGCAGCATTGGACAGATAAGCACTGGCTGTCAATTGTTTTGGGTCTATGCTTTGCTCCCTCGAAATGCAAAGTCTTTTTCCAAGATTGGCAAAAACCCACACGTGCGCTGACTCTTGGCGGCAATCAGATAGAAGTCCTTTGGGAATTAAACTACCTGAGCAGCTTATATTAGCCCCCGTGGGATCGAAGCTGAGATTACGAACCGTATAGCAAAAACTCGTGGTGCTTTTGCCAATCTCCGCCACCTGTGGCGTTAGCGCGATACCACTTTCATCATGAAGGGCAGAGTTTACCATACAATCGTGCGATCGACCCTCCTGCACGATCCCAAAACCAGGCGCATCAAGTCAACTGACATAAGGAGGCTAGCTGCGTTCGACCATCGCTGTCTTCGCAGCTTAGCTCATGTCTGGTGGGAGCACCGCGTGAGCAGTGAGGGTATTCGGCGTCGTGTATTTGGTGCAGGAAGAGCGAGTGATCCGCTCAGCACCATTATATCACGCACCAGGCTCCGTTGGCTGGACCACGTGTTGCTCATTCCATCCCGCCGACTCCCGCAACGTGCGTTGTTTGCGCGCACTGTGGCTAGACGGAAGAGAAGAAGGATAGGCCAAGCATGACTTGGTCGAGCAAAATGAAAACCCTCACCTCGAAATTGGCGCCAGTTGGTGCATTCCGACTACCTTGCTGGGATCAGAAGGACGGTGAACACGTTTGGTTGGATACACTTGCTGATATGGCTAGTATCCGTCTGCGATGGCGTTTGTGTTGTGAGTTTCTTTGTCCACCCCGTCTCCTTTAGCTTCCCCCTCCCATAACGATCTCATAGATGATGAATACTATGATATGTAGCCTTATACTGCTTGCTTTTTGTTTTTTGTAGTGTAATTTTTTAGTCTCTTATCTTTTTTGTACTGCGGCATATTAACCGAGGTATGTTTCTTCTTCAGCTAACGTGTATTGATGTCGATGATCAGTTGGATTACGCTTAATTGTCTATTTATCCTTTGAGTAGATGTCAGTGTTGTCAGGTAGTTAGCTCTATCTCTATGGCGAAACGCAATCTCAATTTTGTGCCACGGCTGGAATTCGGTTTAGCCTTTCAGTACTTCTCTGGTCATCGTTTAGTGTCCTCGAAGCTTCGATTTGGTCCAGGTCGGTGTCGCCTTCCTAAACCACACCACAGCCAGCCATCCGCTTAGGCGCGTAGGATTATTAAGATAGACGAAAACGAATCAAAACGTTATTTTAGTTCGGGTTACTCTGGTCGACGTTTATCTTCCCATTGATATGGTCTGAGTTGTCCCGTTCTCTTGTTCGGTGTTTTCGATTCATATTGGCCAGCGTTTCACACTCGCCCAGTTGCGCCTTGTCGCGCAGGCAACAGTGTAGCCCAATCTTATCTTTCCAGTTGCCCTTCGTTTGTTTTTGCTGGAAATTTCTGCCTTGCGAATTCCTCTGAACCAATATTCCTCTGTAAAGAGGAAGTCTGTAGCCTTGTCGCTGTTTATGGCTTGAAGGGGACTAACTTTCTCTCCTTTGTTGTGCTGCATCATGAGCTTGTAATATGTTGATTTAAAATCATGTGTGACATTCTCTTTCATGTGTTTACTTGTTGCAACGATGCTTCTGTTCGCTCATATGCACTCGATTTGACACAGCAATGTTTCCGAATCAGATGGCCACTAGACGAATAAGCACTTGGTAGAGAGTGGTGTAATTTCACTAGAGTCGAACCACAGTTTGACATATCGTAATATCCCGGAGATCTACCGCTATCGTAGTTTGTATTTTTCTGTTGCATGCGTTGCTAACTTGGATTCCACCTCATTTATCCGTCCGACACTTTTGCATTTCCAGAGAGTGATCTATGCTCTCTCTGTCGGTCTTCCTCCTCCAGGAACTATGACATGCCCCATTCCTGAGGTTCGTATACGGCCCTAGCAGCTTCGCAGCATTTGCTTGTCTTGTCATTCCGGTGTTCAAGCTATACGAACACGCTTTCCGCCCGCGGCCCATGTGTGCATAAAGTGCTATCCCTGTGTCGGACATTTGAAGTGCACACCTATTCACGATGTGCCTGCCGTGTGCGTGTAGCAGTTTCTTTGCGTATCACGCTATTCCAATAGTCCCTTTATTCTGGATCCGTTACATTGTTTTTTTTTGAACTGCCAGCTATCATTATACACTAAGTCCCTTCGGTCCTTTTTCGAAACAGCTGTCTAACGCATGAACTGACTGCAAATGTGTGGATCGCGCCACCATCCCTCCACTGCATCCTCAGTTTGTTCGCCATCATATTTGCCGCTGTACTCGCATTTATCGTTGATCCGGTTCTTTTCTTGTGTCACGCGTTTGCCTCCCACTTCTCCGTTTCTATGCCACACGCGTTTTACATCATCAATAATAACTGAACTCACGATCTGGAAACGTCGTTCATTATAGTCGTTTGTGATGCTCTTTGCTGCAACACATTTATGAAACGTTTTGGAAAAAATTTGGCTCTTGTCAGTTAGCTTTCACCATCACGAATTACACTATACCAAACGCCGTGACCTTGGGGTTGCGGGCACTACAGTACGGTAACAGACCAGGCTAACGGATCTCCTACTGTCGAATTTCTTTTGGCCAACTTATGTACCAGGGATCATTTCACACACACAGCAACTGCGGTCACCGGCCAAAGTAACCTCCTACCTTCCCCTGTATCACAAGCTAGGCGGTGGTTGAATCCGATCTTACAACGCAGCATTGATGACCTGCATTCTCACCCACCCTTCCTCCTAGCTACCTATATGCTAATCTTCGATTTCCTCTTCCTCATTTAGGTCTGGTACCACTCGAATTGTTCTACACGTGGACGTGGGTGTTACAACACCCGTTTGGTGGAACAAGGTGGTTGTTGCATGTGGTACAATGAGGCGAATCTGTTGGGCGAAATAGAAGAGCATTTGGGCGTGACAATTGATACAGTGGACTCAAATTTGCTCGTGCCCACTGATGCATTTGATGGCAAAGTTGTCTATGGACAGAAAATGAAACAGCGTGAGCTTCCTTTCTAGTCAAACCCACCCTTTGTGCTTAAGCGTTATTCGTATATTTTTGATGGTTTCCTTGCTGAAATAGTGCGCGCGCTGTTTTGCTCAGTTGCCAGATAAGGCGATTTTACTCTTCGCAAACGGCCTACGATCAGGTGTTTTCGGCTTGCTTGATTGAAGAGACTTATTTTTGCAGTGCTCTGCGCTGGAGAGTTTTCATTATCTCTTAAGTGCTTGGCAATCACTCAGGATGCATTGTCGAGGTAAAGAGATGTATCAGCGCAATCTACCCCCTCTCCTGTGCCACCTCGGTGAAGCCCTATGCGCGTGATCTTATAACATGTGAATTGGAATAGATTCTCTTTTATTGATTTCCCTTCGTTTCACTCTTCCCAGATTACGGACTCCTTTCGTTAGTTACCTGGAAAGCCGCGACAGCAGATTGCTTTATTGAAGCATCATCATCCCCTCATTTTGGATTCTCTTATTTAGGGTAGATAGTTTCACCCCTGGCTTGCGTTTGAGTTGGATACTATTATTTGAGTCACGCTTGTTTCGGCCTTGTAGCGCGATCTCTACCCCACAATCAGAATGTCTAACCTATATCCGCATGTACGACAACTACTATTACATTGCGCCGCCAAAGTTTTCGACAGCCTTCCAAATTCTTCACGTTTCTATTTTAGTGGGTCCGAAGTATCAGAGTCACGTTGACGTCCTTGCTTCTGCTGTGAAGGAACTCAATCGGTTGGAGAAATCAGCCCAACAGAGTTATCTCAAATTGAAATACGGTGCAGAGATAACGTCTTAAGCGTTTTATATGACCTCTTCTTCTCGTTGTTGACCATTTCTGTTTCGGTAACATCACTTCGCAGCTGCACCACGGTACTTGGCCTACCACATTAAAGAAACCTTTCGCTTCCATTCGTTCTGTCTAACTGACAACTTGCGTTTTAACATTTATGCCTGTGTGTTAATTATGTGTTTCCAGTCTGGAGTCCAATATCCCAGTGATCTATCGGTCAACGATGACCGTACCGATTGCAGTTCTCCCTAGTTTTATGTTAGTCTGAGAAATAAAGTATTCCTCGGACATGACCTTGCTTGATATTACTTTTACTTTCTGGATCGGCCATATATATATATATATGTGTCCCCGTTTCCGCCCACGATATAGAAGCCCAGTTGTAGTCACTCCACTAACTGAACTGTTTCCAGATTTACGGTACGGCACTACTTCTCAGCATGGCTCACTCGACGGTTCCACCGGCTTTTGTCTTACGCTTGCAGTCAGTCACTCGCTATTTTCAACGTACAATGGACATTTTTTTCATATTCACCGGGTAGCGTGATTTCATTTCCTGATTGTTTTCTACTTCAACGGAAATATCCATACTGTTATTTGCCTCAACGAGTTTTTCTTATACAGTCACCTTTTACTGACTTCCCCATCGTCAGCGATACGGCAGACGAACACATCCCTTACATGGCGAGGATCCATTTATATTCCCCAAGGTGTTCTCTGTTCTACAAGTGTGTGCTCCCCACATAGACACCGATGGAGCTTGCTTGGGGTACTTGTCACTAGGTTGGTGTGCTGGGATATGAAACATCAATTTGTGGGTAGCTCCTCATGATGGTAAGCCAGGTATGTATGTGACAGCTTTTTTGTTGCATTTCTTGATGAAGGAACTATGATTCACTTTTGGGGATCTTTCCAGCCGACGGTAGTTTCCGAGCACTATGTTCGGTTATGGGTGGTTCAGTATCTTTCGTGAACTATGGTTTTAGCATGACGTTCTACGACGAACAGCGGGTGGCGGTCTGCGGTCCAGGTTCATTGCCGCCTAAACGACATTATTGGGAATCAAAAAGTGTAACACATTTCTCGCAACTACACTCGTCCAGACAGCCACAAACGATTTGAGATGTGCTGAATGACTGCTGACTTCTTTTGGGGCCTACCCTAAGGTGCACTGCATCCGAGGTTTAGCAACCCTTATCCTATCTCCATAAGATGTCCCCCGGAGCTCTTGGACCGTGTCAGACACCGGTACTCGATGTACTGCTTGGGCCATCTTCCAGCTCAATACAGCGAACACGCTGGACTCTTGGACAGTGGCTTTTGACGGTGAGCCGCCAGTCTATGATATCATCTGAAGCAGAAATTGAACTAACCATCCCTTTTGGCTATTCGATGCTGGTTTGGTTCTGTGTCCACTAATGTAACCCACTCTCTTGTCCATAACAAGGAAAAGGAGGTACCAACGAGATTTGACCAGTTTTCCATTCTTTCCACTTTCGAGTTTCTATCAACCAGGCAGGTACAGTATTTGACAAATCTAACCCAACCATCATTGGCGATACGTATTTATTGAACCATGTGCGGTTCCTTCTGCGTATAAATGGTCAAAAAGTCGGTCATTTCCTTACGTTCGCCTCCTTGATGTTTGCCTCAGCATCGTGTACACCATCTTCGATTCATGGGATGATGTATTACCGTTTTTCTCGGTGCTCGAGGCCTCTGAACACCACATTTGGCTTACTAATGCATGAATAGACGCTCTCGGTGATACAAATACTTTCATACCTACTTCAGTTAGTCCCCTCCGGTTGTTCAGTGAATGCGTTTACCTCTGCATTCTCTTTGAGGATACCCACCCGTGTGCAAGTGTGAATCACTTGGTTTTCTATCACCTTAGATAGCATTGGAGCTAAATGTGGCCGCAGGATCAAATTTCCATCCGCATGCACCTACTGCTATGGGTTTCCACTTGTGAGAAATCCTGTTTCCTGTTGATTGCATCATCGCGAAACGACGGCTGCTGAGATTCTGCTAAGGTTTCACCATCCGTATTCACGCCACTACTGAGCTCAGGTCTTCATCATCATTCAAAGTTGTTTGTCAGATTTTGCTATTCACTTGCATTGTTTTCATTCGGCCTTATTAACTCAAGACAGAAGAGACAAACGGCTCCACATACTTGTGATATCCTGGGCGTTGACCTAAGCTGTGCAACACTTAACTGCCGAGGCTGATGCACTTGGTTTATCTTTCCCCTACAGGTATCACGTGTTCGATGGTGATAGTGCTGAGACCGCATATCCACATAAGGTGGCCATTGTTCTCAACTCCAGTACTGAATTCTCATCACACTATTAGACTTGTGTTCGAACGGGATCTGAAATATGTGGTAAGAACGGACGTTCATTGCATCTGCGCGCCGAACGTCGACTGTTCCTACTCACTGCTGATTTCTGACACAATGTTATAGTTGTGCTCCTTCACGTCCTCCACCCAATACATGTGTGTTCCGTTCGACCGTGACAAAAGAATGAGGTAACATTGGACGCAGTTTCTTCCCATGCGCCAGCTGATTTTACTCTAGATGATGCCAGGAAACCTTCTACCAGGAAAATGATATGGATATATTGGAGAGTTCGTCTTGATACACCCGTGTGAATGGGTTCCTCAAGCCATCTCAGTGTGGACAGCGGTGCACTTTGAAGTATAGCTCGATTAATTTAACTGTAGGCGGAGCAACACTCGACATTTATATGACATGGACATAACTAGTTGACATTTTCGAGCGTGATTTGAAATATGTGGTAAGGACGGACGTCATTGCATCTGCGCGCCGAACGTCGACTGTTCCTACTCACTGCTGATTTCTGACACCATGATATAGTTGTGCTCCTTCATGTCCTCCAGCCACTAATCATCAGTGGGCCACTCATTCTTGACTGTCTCTGAAACATCTGTATCGACTTCACTCGTGTCTTTGTCCACTGTCGGTACCACTTGGTTTTCTCACGAGTGGCAGTAACGATTCCCACACTTGGCGGTCGAGAAGACGCTCCACTCAAAGGTTAGGTAGACTAACTAGTTTTCTCCGTTAACTGGGCCTATCACTTTTAAATCATCGAGTTTCCGTGCAATATGTTTTATGCTACCATCCATGTTACCAGAGCTTCAATTTTCCACATTCACTAGTCTCGGCACTGGGTGGCCTATATCTCAAACGTCGATGAGCCTACTTGAGTCCAGAACCAAAAATCTCTGCTGAGGCTAGTAGCACTATAACCAACTGAGTTATCAGACGCTATATACGTTGCTGCGAGCCAACTAGTTGGACTCGGAATGTTCAAACACTGGAGAGGGGGAGAAGAGAGACTAGAAACTACCATAGGCTATTTCATCTAATCTACGCCAGCGGTCCCATTAACTCACTCATCTGGAAGGCAATTATTAATGGAGCCGACATCATCACTTGCAATAAAGGCTACGGTTCGTCTCTTCGGGTGCAGTTCGTTTAGGAACTGCTACTTCACCCTCTTGCTTCCCAGGACAGTCACTGAACCTCCATGCTCCAACTGTATCCCGGATTCGGAAGGCGAATACGTTCCTCAGTAACCTCATCGCTAGTGGTCCTGATTTGTATGGGCCATCGCTTTCTGACGAAGATGGCAAAGTGCGCAAATGATCGGGCCACTTCCCTGAATAAGAATCGATGCATTAGGATGTGTAACCTTTTAGGGCGAATTGAGTGTATTGACGATTTTCTTGGAAAGCAGTGCCAACGGTTGCATCGACAACAATAGCATCAGCTTATCATTGTCAGCAGTTGCTTGAACAGTGACAGGTGACTTAATGCGGTTATAAATCTGCTGCTCGCTTTTGATTTAGTTGCCGACGTTAGTTGTGTACCCTGCTCTTCCCAATGCACTTGCTCGAATAGGTGCTCCTATCAAATATACAACCATTTAAGTAACCTATAGTAAACACCTAAGATCGTATCGCGCTCCACGGCGATATGCCAGACATCTTTTCTCTAAGACTTGATGTCCACCAATTTCGTCTTAATCCCTGCTGCCGTTCAATATTTCAGTACACTGAGGGTTTGAGGAATCTTGTTCTGCAGCTTGTGCTAATAGTTAGTCGCTTGAACAAAGCGCAGGAGCCATCCGGGATGCGACTGCAAATGAGTCAGGTGAGTATGCTACCGGATAGCCGCTTGAGCGAAAGGCAGTTGGAAGCATATGGCTAATTGGCCAATCAGCTGCACTGATCAACAAGCGAGGGCAAGGAGTCGCGGTTGGCTCATTGGCGGATCGGTTTAGTCGGGATACCCACACGCAAAAAAGATAGGAACGACAGCCCCGACATACAAAGCAGAGCTGCCGTGGCTCAAGGCGAATACACGAAGCTGACAACTGAGCAGTGCGCGGAACCAATGAACGCAAAGTAACACGAAAGTAGTATCGGCTAATATCAGCAGACAAGCATTCCCAATTTGTGTGCAATATAAACGATACCCTGACTCTTTAATAACAGACTGATCATTGCCCAGATTTTCTTTTGACTCTCAGAGGGCGGTGCTCGACACAGATGTACGCTAACTTCTAACCAATCCTAGACGCCCTTGCCCTGTCCAAAAATAATTGAGTAAAAGTGTTTCATTAATAATGCCGCGCTTATTAGCGTAATTAAAGAAAGTACGTGCTCAGGATAAACGGACGCTTGCTTTCTCCATATTAATAAGGCATGATAGGCTCCTTGCTGAAGATGAGTTAAAAAGTGCACGGACATTACTGGCTGAAGAGCAACGAGCTCTGAAATCTACAAACAACTCCAGAGACTTAGTCAATATGACGCAGATGGGTAATAAAATCTAACCTGATACAGTTTCCGACAGATCTCCGACTTCAAATCTTTACATAATAGCGAATACTCTAAATAATCATTTTACCTCATTGTTCACTGTTCTATGTGACGTACCTTTGCCCAGTACTACTATTAGCATTGTAAAA